AGCCTCCAAACCTCGGAGGGAGGTGGGGAGAGAGGAAGGAGATGGCAGGACCCCCACTCCTCCAGCAAGGCCATGCCATGCAATTATAGAATCCATTCCTTTGGAGGAGACCTTCCAGATCAACTCCAGCCATTCCCCCAGCCCTGCCAGGTCCCCACCGCCCCGTGTCCCTCACCCCACATCTCCACAGCTTGGAAACCCCTCCAGGGGTGGGGACTCCACCACTGCCCTGGGCCAGGCCTTCCAGGGAGGAAATTCTTCCTGATGTCTAACCTAAATCTCCCCTGGGGCAACTCGAGGCTGTTTCCTCTTGTCCTCTCAAGACATGTCCTACATCAGAGCTGCACAACCAGTGAGACAGAACAACTTCAGCCACCTCTTGAACTCACCTTCTTCACCCATCTCTGCAGCTTCACGAGCCAGGCACTGGCCACAGCTCTGAGGTCACTCCACAGTGGCACAACACTGTCAACCAGAGGTCTTGAGCATGCTCCAAACATGCAAAATCCCCTCCAAGCCTGAACATCTGCTGCCACAGCTTGTGTTGGGTGAGGGGAGCTCAGGAGTTGGGCTTCTATAACTCAACAGGTCTGCTTGCAGAAGAAAAATGGGGGGTTCACCCCCTCCTTGTGCAGTGAGATGCTACCAAGTCCTCTTGGCCAACGGGACGTGGAGCTCTAGGTGGGCAGAGAGCACAGAGCTGCAGTGGGGAAGGAGCTACCCACCTTTATTGCCCAAAAGGGCAACCTGAAGGTTTCCCACAGCAGCCCAGGTCTCCAGGCCTTGGAGGTGGGAACAATTTAAATCCAGGTCAGCAGCAAGTCATGGGGGAAACAGTCCCTAAACATCTTTGTTATTCAGATCAGTATTTATGGCATCCAGAAACAGGAGCCCATGAGCTGTGCAGCTGCCTGGAGATGGGCAGGGAGAACAGCACGAGGTCTTCTCCAAACCTCAAACTTGCCAAGGCCAAAACAAACCCCAAAAACCCAATTAAAAAAGAACTTTTGAGCAGCTCTGCCATCACAAGTAGCCCAGACTAGTCTGCACGTTCAGCTTTCCTGAAAACCACCCCAAACTATGGGGGCTTGGTTTCTAGGAGCTTCTTTCTCCAAGAAGCAGTCACCCTTGTGTTCCCAGAAAGCAAGATGGTTCAACAAATCCTCCAAGAGCAAAGGAAGACTTTTCTGACCTCAGCAGCTCGTGGTTATCCTTGCAGAGGATGCAGGAAGATCTGCAGCTCAGCTGGTAGGACAGAGGATGCAGGAGCCCAGGTCCCCACAGCTTTGACTTCTCCTTGTGTTGGTCCCATTGCATTCAGAGACAACCCCAGACTGAAGACAGAAGCAGCTGGAGACCAAACCCATCTGCACCAGGGACATGTCTCCTGGGCAGCTCTGAGCATTCCAGGTGCTTCCCACCTGCTTGGGGACACGACTCCCAAAATCTGTGAAATCTGGGAATCAAGCTGAGCCATGGAAGTCAAGCTACACCTGCCCCTTCATCACCAGAAACCCTCCTCAAGATGGGTGGGAAGAGTGGGGCAAGAGGCTGGTCACAGACAACAGGACAGGCATGAGGAATCTCTACTTGTGAGACAAGCAGATCTAGACTATGGACTTGGGGGAAAAAAGGAGAAAAAAAGGGGTACAAGAAAAGCTTCACTAAAAGTGGAGGTCTCATCCTGCTTCTTACCACCACTGCTATTGAAGGTTGGACTCCTAAATCCAGATGTTTTTATTCAAAAGCTGAAACTATTACCACCAAAGCTAAAACCAACACATTAAGAACACTGATAGTTTGCACCTAAGTTCTTCCTTCTGGGTCCTTTCAGAAACAAACCTCCTCCTGAAAACCTCAGTTTGGAGATGGCCAAAGTATGAGAGATCCAGAGCTCTCAGCTTTTTCTAGTGCCAGCAATGCACTGTGAGGAAGGGCTGTAAAGTGCACACAGACTTGAGCTCCCTGAAGCTCAGCTCAGCCAGATGAAGGGTTCAGGAGAGAGAGTTGAAGGCAAACACAAAGAAACTCCACAAGAATTCGGGTTCTTCCATCCAGAGGGTCAGATTAAGAAGACAATGTCATCAGACACCATGATCTGGTTGTCATCTTGCATGTGGGTCAGTGCCACCTTCACTTCAGCCAGTGAGAAGGGCTCAGGGTTGTCCTGGTTGATGGACTCCATCACTTTCTTCAGGGCCACAGACTGGGCGTGGGAAGTTTTGAAGACCTCCAGGAGGGCAGCTTTGAATGCTTTCAACCTGGCCAGGCAAGGTGAGAAGCAACCCCTGCTTTAGAGACCACACACACAAGTCCTCCCCCTTCCCTCCCAGCCCAGGATGCCTCCAGCCCTTCCCTATTCCACAAGTGGCACCCAGCAGGAGAACCAAAACCAGAGCTGAGAGCACCCCCCACAGAAGCTCCTCCAGTGTTGGGTGGGGTGGGACAGGCAGGGACAGACACCCCCCAAGCCCAGCTCACCTGGGCTCAGCCAGCTCCAGCTTCTTTGCTTCGCCAGCACCTGAGGACTCTGGTGTCTTGGGGGTGTGTGCCTGGACTGGAGCAGAAAGAAGAGTTACCTTCAACCTGCCTGGTGCCCAAGCACCCAGAGAACAAAAGCACTTGGCCTCCAGATGGGGTGGGGGACACCAAACTCCCTCCCAGCTCCCAGGGTTGTTACTTCTGCAGCAGTCTGATTTTTTTTCCCATCCACTTCCAATCAGCAACATGAACTCTCCTGCCCCACACGGCCATGGAGGGTTTCAAAGCACATTTGTCTGGAGCTGTGGGGCTGGATGGAGCCAGGTGCCACCCAAACAGGAGGGACTCACCCTCTGGCATCTCCTCCTCGGCGTCGCTGAAGTCGTAGGGGTCGTAGGAGTCCCCCTGGCCTCCTGTGCGTGCCCTCTTCCTCCTGGGGGGGCAAGAAGAGACCAACCCTGCTCCAGCTGAACCACAGACCTCAGCAGCCCCCAGCCCCAAGCTCCTGGGGAGCCCTGGGCAGGATCCCCTCCCTGCCCTGCTGCCCAGGCTGCTGCCGGGGGCTCCTGCCAAGCTCCTCCCCCCCAGCAACCCCAGGGTTGCGCTCCAGCCCTGCACCACCAGCCTGGGCTGACCTGACCCACGTGCAGGACCCTGCTCGTGGCCTTGGGGAACCTCATGAGGTTTGCACAGGTATCAAATAGGATTGGTTCCAGCAGGGACCCCTGAGGGACACCACTCACCACCCATCTCCATTTGGACACTGGGTCCTTGACTGCAACCCTCTGAACATGGCCACCCAGCCAGTTAACCACGTCCCTCTACCTGCCATGCCCCTTCCATGACATCCCACCCCACCCTTGCTCTGGCTCCTACCTCCTCATCCTCTGCTCCTCCTTCTGCTGAGAATCTTCCTCCTCCTCCTTCTCGGTCTCAGAGTCATCCTCCCTTTGCTTTCTGCGCTTCTTCTCCTTCTCCAGCACCTGTGGGGCCAAGACAGGACAAGCTGCTTTTAAGGGACCAATCTCAAGGGATCCAAGATTCTGCCTCGGTGGCCTCAGCTCACACTACCACCAGAAAAGGATCTCAGCAGCCCAGGGTGCTCAGCCTGCACCAGCTGGGCTGGAACCCCTCTGCTGGGATTGCTGGGCTTGTTCAGCCTGGAGAAGAGAAGGCTCTGGGGAGACCTTCTGTGGCCTTCCAGTATCTGAAGGGGGCCTACAAGAGAGCTGGGGAGGGATGTTTTACAAGGGCTTGTAGCAATAGGACAAGAGGTAATGGCTTCAAACTGAAAGAGGGGAGATTTAGATTAGAAATTAGGAAGAAGTTCTTCACTGTGAGGGTGGTGAGACACTGACCCAGGTTGCCCAGGGAAGCTGTGGTTGCCTTATCCCTGGAGGTGTTGAAGACCAGGCTGGATGGGGCTTGGAGCAACCTGCTCTAGTGGGAGGTGTCCTTGCCTGTGGCAGGGGGGTTGGAACCAGATGATCCTGAAGGTCCCTTCCAACCCAAACCATTCTGACTCTGCGACAACTCAGGACCCCACCCCGAGCACTGAGGGACACCTTCTGCCCACCTTCTTGAAGTAGGCAAACTGCACCAGCTCCAGGGCTGCCTCAGCATCCTGCAGATCCACAGTCTTGTTCATCCTGGCCTTGGCGTGGGCCGTGGAGAGGCGGATCAGGGTCTCCAGGGTGCGGGCCGTGACGGGGGAGGTCTGGGGGGGACACAAAGAGAGGAGGCCTCGTGAGGCTGACCCCCCCATCACCAACACCCAGCAGGGGAGAGGGGCAGCCTGTGCCTCAGTTTCCCCACGCCTGGCCTGGGAGGGAGCTGCTGCTGGGGCTCACCCTGGCGATGTCAGAGTTGAGCTGGCTCTGGCTCCTCAGGCGGGAGTACTCCTCTGCTATGTAGCTCGCCGACTCCTGGGTCAGGACAGGCTTAATCATCTTGGCCACGTGGATGTACTTCTTCATGAACTCCATGCTGACCACCTTCTCCCTGCAGGGGATGCAGGCAGAGCTGTGTCCTCCGAGGTGGGCACAGGCAAAGGGTCTTTGCAGTAGCAGGCTCCCTGCAGGCACCCAGGAGCGATTTGGCTCCAGATGTTCCTCAAATGACTGGCATGAGAGATCACACCCAGAGTGGGGCTCCCGTGGCATCCTGCCCACATACCTCCCCATCTGGAGCATCACTGGCACCAGCAATCATTGACACAAGCCAAACCCATCGACTCCCAGTGCTGGGAATGCCCAGAGAGTTCCAGAGGTTACGGAATGAAGGACTCACCTGCGGCGGTTGGGCCCGTGCAGGAGGTCGTCATGTTTCTCATACACTTGGAGCTCCTGTTCCTCCTCTTGCATGAAGTCGGGGTCCTCTGTGGCCAGGATCTCCACAGCACTGCCCAAGGGCATGGCTGAAGAGGGGAGGGTCAGAGAGAAAAGGCTTATAGCCTCTGGAGCAACTTCCAAAGCCAACAAAACCAGGGATAGAGCTGCCACCCAGGGGTGACAACCTGCCAAAGGCCAGGACAGAGCTGGGAGGAGGCTGCAGGGATCAGCAACTCACCATCCCCGTCCTGCTCGTTGGGGTTGCGGTAGCGGTGCATCCGCAGGACGTGGTCAGAGATCTCCCTGTCCTGCTCAGGGTCCATCTGGTCCAGCACGATGAAGAGCAGGTCGAAGCGGGACAGCAAGGAGTCCTGCAGGCCAATGTTCTCCATGGGCGTCTTGTACTGGTCATACTGCAAGGGACAACACAGGGGATTACAAGAGACCCTCACGGGCCAGCCTTGGCTGACAGGGAGGGTGGGAGAACCTCCTCAGGCCAGGCCTTAAAGGGTGGATGTCCAGATAGCTGGACACCAGCTTGCAGCAGCAAGGCCTCTGTTCCCCATCCTGGAAGGTGGGCATAGCTCTCCCCTGCCAGCAAAACCCCTTTTGTTTGTGATCCCAGCCAGCCACCAAGGCTGAGGCTCACCACAAGGGTCCACTGGGCTGCCCCCCCAGGCCAGGGTGGAAACCCCCCGGGGCCCCTGTCTCCTCCAGGAGAGCCGCAAGGAGCACCACCCATTGACCCAACCACGCCTTCACCGCCTCACAGCTCCCAGCCTCAGCAAGAAGCCAGCCACGGGTTGTGAGGGATCTTTGGGGGTCTGGCAGCCTCCTCCTCCAGCAGGCCAGCTCCCAGCAGCCCCGAGCAGGCACTCACCCGGCCGTAGACGGGGTTGGCAGCCGCCAGGACGCTGCAGCGGGAGTTGAGGCGGGCGTGGATGCCGGCCTTGGCGATGGTCACCCGGCCCTGCTCCATCACCTCGTGGATGGCCGTGCGGTCCAGGTCGGACATCTTGTCAAACTCATCGATGCACACCACCCCCCTGTCGGCCAGCACCATGGCTCCTGCCTCCAGGCGCCGCTCCCCTGGGGACAGAGGGGGGGAAAGGCTCAGGCAGAGCTCCCCGGCCCCACGCGCCTCCTGCCGGGCCTGTCACGAGGCTGAGCCCCAAAGGGCAGCACCCTGCAGAGCTGCCTGTCTTCTCTTCCCCAAAAGGGTTGTTCAGGCCTGGCCCAGGCTGCCCCAAGCAGTGGTGGAGTCCCCACCCCTGGAGGGGTTTCCAAGCTGTGTGGGTTAGTGGGGACCTGGCAGTGCTGGGGGATGGTTGGACTTGAGGGTCTTAAAGGTCTTTTCCAACCAACCAAAGCAACTCTAGGATTCTATCTCCTACCCAAATTGACAGCAGAAAACTTTGGAGCAAGTCCATGAGGAAGACAACAAGATCCAGGCTGGCCCTCACATGGTGTATCAAGTAGAAGAGGAGCAGAGAAGACCACTACCTCACAGAGGTGGAGAAACACCCCTCATCACCACTAGCACTGCCATAAAGCTTCTGGGTGGCAGTCTGCAAGTGTCCCTGCAGAACAAACAGCAACCTCAGATCTTAGCTATAAGGAACATATTTTTAGCAAAGAGGATGGTGAGACACTGGCCCAGGTGGAAGCCCTATCCCTGGCACCATCCCAGGGGAGGTTGGCCGGGGCTCTGAGCACCCTGCTCTAGCTGCAGATGTCCCTGCTCAGTGCAGGGGAATTGGAGTCAGATGACCTTGAAAGGTCCCATCCCACCCAAACCCTTCTATGG